TATGCTTATGATGATGAAAATAGTTTCCTTTGTTTAATAGTGTGGTAGGCCTGTTGAAGAAAATAATTAATTTTCAAATGTATTTTCCTGATTTTGACACATTAGGAATTCTAGACCAAGCCTTTAAGTGTTCAAGAATTTGTTTACTGTTTTTTAGGCAATTAACCATCAGGGTCTAACTTTCAAATTAGACCAAAACATCTTCCTTTTCCACCAATCTTTTACAAATGCCAAAAATTTAACTTTTGAAATGTCTTTTTTTAACATTTGGCTCAAAGAATGGCATTTGAAAAGGCATGTTAGGGCTACACGGCTCAGTGGTGAGCACTGCTGCCTCTCAGCCCCAGGGACCTGGGTTCGATTCTACCCTTGGGTGACTGGAGTTTGCACGATTTCCCTGTGACTGTGTGGATTTCCTTCAAGTGCTCCAGATTCCTTCCACAGACCAAAGGTGTACAGACTAGGTGGATTAGCTGTGGGAAATGCATGGTTATAGGGATTGGTAAAGAAGTGGGTCTGGGTGGGATGCTCTTTGAAGGATCGGTGTGGACTCGATGGACTTGATTGCCTGTTTTTGCACTGTAGGAATTCTACGATTCTGTGTTAGAGAGGATTCTGAGCTACATACTGGAGATAATGGGTATAATTTGGGAAGGTGTGGTAAATCCAAGAAGCAAAAGTATTTAAATACGATTATAGACTTTCCATTGGAAGAAATGACATAGTATAAATCTAAGTGTAATTCAACAAGTAAGGTTTATGAAAACATTAGGATATCTGAATGTGCGTAGCATTCAAAACAAAGTGATCTGTAGTGTGATCTGTACGCCATTGTAGAAAATTGTCTGCAGATTGATGTGATTGAGATCTGTACACTTTAAGTGTACGTGCCATTTAAGAGGGATGCAAGCAAGAAATTGTTCAACTGTGTTATTAGCGTAGTAGAGAGAGTGACTCAAATTTGGGTAATCGGGATATAGAAACTGGTTTGGCAGGGGTGCAAAATGATAAAAGGCAAGAAGTTACTTGTGGGAGTGGAATATAGACATTTGAACAGTAACTACATGTTAGGATGATGTGTCATGGAAGAAATGGGAGCTCATCAGAAAAGCACAGTGATCATGAAGATTTTTATCTTCATATGGACTAGAAGAGAATCCATTTCCATGAACTTGCCTAGGCTACCCTGAAAACATTTCTTCAGATACAGTCTGGAGCCTTACAGAGAGCAGTGACTAGTGGGTGAATTGATTCATTTATTTTGCTTTTCCAAAATTCCCTGAATTTGGGAGAAGAGCTCTTTAGATGGGAAAATAACAAATCTAATCCCTTTATTCAAAATAGGAGGGAGGCAGAAAGCAGGAGACAGCACTGAGACCAACCCTTTCATCCAACTCTTCCATGCTGCCTATTGTAAAGACGATGTTAGAAGCTGCAATATGTTATTGCAGAGTATTAGGAAAAAAAGATATTGAAAGAGTCAACATGGTTTTGCATAAACCATGGTTGCAGAAGTTACATTCTGTGGATAAAGAGGAATCAATGTACTGTACTTGGATTTCCAGAAGTCATTATATGAAGTGCCACATCAAAGGTGGTTGTGGAATATAGAAGCTCGTTCTGGGGTGGCATGGTGACTAAGTGGTTAGCACTGCTGCCTCCCAACAGGGACCCACATTCGATTCCACCCTCGGGTGACTGTCTGTATGGAGTTTGCACATTCACCCTGTGCCTGCGTGGGCTTCCTCCAGGTGCCCCGGTTTCCTCCCACAGTCCAAAGATGAGCAGGTTAAGTGGATTGGCCATGCTAAATTGCACATAGTGTCCAGTGATGTGTAGGTTAGGTGGGCTATAGCGGGGTGGGTCTGGGTGGGATGCTTTGAGGTTCAGTGTGGACTTGTTGGACTGTAGGGATTCTATGATTGTGTAAGGGTAGCAGGCTGGCTAGTTAACAGAAAACAAAAGACGTAAGTGGGTAATTTTCTAGTTGGTAAGATGTGATGAATAGTGTACCAGAGGGCTGAGTGATGGGCTGTCAATTTTTTTGTAACTTTTTTTATATAAATGAAGGGAGTGTACATACAGTTGCTAAAATAGCTTGGCCCAGTCAGCTAGGTAGGACAGTAAGGTGTGAAGAGGACATGAGGCTACAAAGAACTACAGGTGGTTTTAGTAAGTGGGTAGAAATTGGGGAAAATTGCCTGTTTTGGTGGGAAGAATTTTAAAGCCACACATAATCTAAATGGTGAATGATTGTAAAAGTGAGATAGGGAGATCTGGGTATCCAAGTGCATAATTGCAGCCATTTTATGGATGTATAAGTCATCAGAAAACCTAATAAATGGTTATTATAAAAGGAAATTAATACAAGAACGGAAGTTGTACTTCAGTTACATGTAGGGTGTTTGGTGAGACTACAAAAGGAGACCAATACTTTATATTTTACTCTAAATGTAAGGAAAGATGGAAGCAGTTCACATAGGGTTACTAGACTACTATCTGGAATCGGCAGGTTTTCTTCTGGGGAAAGGTTGGACAAGTTAGGCTTGTGTTCGCTGTTGTTTTAGAGTAAGCAGTGACGTGATTGAAAAATACAAGATCCTGAGGGATTCTTAATAGAGTAGAAGTGGATGGGATGTTTCTTCTTGGCGGGGATTCTGGAAATAAGGACTGCTATTTTATAAAAAAGCACGAGGAGCTGCATGTTAAAGACAGATTGGGGGTGGTGGAGAGGGAAGCAAAGTCACACGGTCATGAGACTTTGGAACTCAATGTTGGTGGAAGCAAAGCCTTTGAAGGCAGATGAAAAGCAAGGGAGTGCAAGGATTTTGGGGGTAGGCAACAATATGGAGTAATCAGATCAACCATTATTCGTTTGTAGGTATGTATCAGCTTTATGTAAAAACCAAAAGTATTATTTTTGCTTGGAAAAATTTGACAACGTTAATAGCCATACGTAGATGTACATGTAGGCTAAAATCTCTTGCAGTACAAATATTTAATTTCCACTTGCTTTCAATGCTAAATACATCAAATAAGTTAGCTTATGGTTGTAAATGGCATTTGTTTGGAATTTTGAAAGTTAGAGTTGGTCATTTAGTTCAGTTTAAGTTTATTTTGGCCACTTTTTTGTTCCATGAATACTTCAGATTAATATTAATACTTGTTAAGTGAAGATGTGAAACGTTTTCAGGGGTAGGCAAGAATACTGAATTTGAGGTACAATCCAATCAGCCACCATCTTATTAAATGGTGGGCAGGCTCAAGGGGCTGAACAGTCAACTCTTGTTCTGTTTTATGTTTTTATCCACTGGAGCTCTCTTTATCCACTAGAGAACCTTTTGTTGTATCATTTAATGCTTTTGAATTGTTAACGATTTGCATGTGCTAATGCTAGCATGCGATTAATTCAAAAATCTATTTTAGGAATCCTTTGTATATATTGATTACCGCTTTCAGGAAAAGTGCTTTTTTTTTGTTGCGTCTATGTTTATGCTTGCAATCTAATAGTTGAAGCAGTTTGTTCTTTTTGTCTGGTGATTAGCTGGATCAAAGTGGAAGCTGAAATTGGTGTAATTTCTGAAATGTGGTCTGTACAGTCAATGATCTTGAGCCCTGTGGCTCATTTTTTTTGCTGCATTGTTGGTCTGTGTTGCTACCTTCAGTGACTTATTCTTTGTTAACTGGTGTTTACGATTTGTTCCCAGGACTACTCTCATTTCCTTACTGTGGAGATGAGCATAGAATCATCCTGTGCTCTGTGTCTGTGGAAACTTATTGTAAAATGTATAACAAGTTCTCGTAGATGGGTGGCAGCTTGTAGCACAGTTGGAAATATTGATGAACTGCCTCAAAAAGGCAGAATTGGCCACTTGTGTTATTTCTCTATGAACTTGGAATAATCATGCTTTTCACAGAGACCGAAATTGGTTTTAGATGCTAGATGGATTGAATATTAGTCGGGCGATCCACATTGGATAATGGCTAGGTGAAAGTGAACTAGGTAGGGCTGAAGATACTGTCCAGTGGGTTTCTGGATTTCTACTTTGGGAACCTTGCCATTCAGGTTCTTAAATCATGAATTTGAAGAAGTATCCTTTTCTGATTTCAAGTTTGCTTGAGCACAAGGGAGATTGATAACATGGCAGGGATATGGATGTAAGTTGGCAGTCAGGTGAAGAGATGCCTTTTCTGTGCATACATTTTGTAAGAACCAATGTACATAGTGAATCAAATTAAGTTGGAACAGGATTTTTTTTATTTGCTTTTGGCGTGGAGGCATCACTCTGGATAACCAGATATTGTCCTTGAGCTGTGTGGCTTGCAAGGCAATTTCAGAGGGCAGTTAAGAATCAACCACATTCTTGAGTCTGGATTAGTTTAAACG